TACACTTTTAATGAGGAATCATATAAAAAATTGTCCTAAAAAAATATTTGCGCGGGTTTCGAGTGCCATATACACTCTCCCTCTATCGTTTGGTGAAGCTGTAAAGGCCAGCTGCGGCCAACAGCATTAGAGTAGACCGAAAATAAAATTATTTGATAAAGTTACTCGATACAATAATTTCTTTTGACAGCCTCGGTGGTCTAGTTGTTTAGCACACAGCTTTACTATCCGATGGTCGTGGGTTCGATTCCTCGCATGGTACAAACATTTGTATTCATGAGTATGATTGTTTGTATCGGTCTGGGTGTTTTCTATGTATAATATGTATTTATAATATACTATTAAAAAGAAACAAAATGTATCCATGTATTTATATCATGACTATTCAAAAGTCTTGTAATGAGTTTATTTGAATAAAGATTATTTCTATTTCTATTTCTATTATTTCGCTAGATGGCGCTGTGTCAATTGTCCTGAGACATTATTATTATTATTTTTAATTCTCATTCAAACCAATAGTCAGTTGATTATAAAACGACCTGTGTAAAATAAATATGATGCAGCTTAAGTGCCATCAATAGTCTAAAGTGTTTTTGAAGTGTTCACTTCAATAATTGAAGTACCTAAGTACACAGATAGTTTTTAGGCGCCATTACGTAACTTAACACTTCTCCAAGTTTATTTATTTTTATTTTATTTACTTCATTGATTAATAAAACATGTTACAATAAGTTCCAATCTTTGGAAAGTGCTAAGTTACACGATCGCGGCTGAGTTGTTGTATCTAATAATAGTAATAACTAAGAGGGCTAAGGGGACATGAATCATTTCATTTTATTCATAATTTTCGCTATTGAAATGAAATGAAATTTATTTGCGTATTAGACAGTTAGATACTCGGTAATATGTCCAGGTAATAATATTATTGGCAACTGTTTAATTGCCCCAATTTACGGGCATGCAAATTTTGGGTATATTAAAATTGAATAATCTATAATATTATAATTTAAAATTAATGTCTTATGTACTATTCTAATTTAGGAACATCCGAAAGTTTTTAAGTATGATAGCAGAGATCTCTGCTATCCAGTTCAGGAAAAATATTCAATTGAGAAAGAACTGGCGAGAAAATCAACTGAATTTACTTAAAAGCAATTTTACCAGAACCATCGTTTTATATGTGACTAGCACCCCCTTAGGGGTAGAATTTATCAAAATCCTTTCTTAGAGGATGCCTACGTCATAGTAGCTTTATGCATGCAAAGTGTCAGCCCGATGGGTTTAAAATTGGCAAAGTTTCATATAAACTTTCATCCCCTATTTTATCCCTTTGGGAGTAGACTTAATTAAAATCCTTTCTTAGCGGATGCCTACATCATATCATCTACCTGCATGCCATATTTCAGCCCGATCCGTCCAGTGGTTTGGGCTGTGCGTTGATAGATCACTACGACAGTCACCTTTGAGTTATATATATTTAGATTATCCCTGAAATTGGTCACCTTGGCGTGTCTTGCATAAAACCGTCCGTTTTGTCTTGTTTGATTATAATATTTCACTATTTGTTACAGGTGGTATCATGTCTGACTGCATCGCTTAGATTCGAAGGCTCCCTGAACGTGGAGTTGGTTGAATTCCGAACTAACCTAGTACCCTACCCAAGGATTCACTTCCCACTGGTCACGTTTGCTCCCTTTGTACCCCCAACACGAGTGTTACACGAAACGTTGACAACCCACCAGCTCATGATGGCCTGCTTCGAATCCTCCAATCAGATGGTCAAGTGTGATCCGAGACAAGGCAGTTATATGTCTTGTTGTTTATTGTTCCGAGGGGACATCAGTCAGAATGATATCAACACTGCCATTGCTCAAATTAAAAGCATGAGGTCCATAAAATTCGTTTCTTGGTCTCCCACCGGATTTAAAGTAAGTTATTATGTATAACTAGACTTCGTTCGCATGGAATTTAACTTCTACTTCTTCTCTTTGTATTAAAATGAAAGTAGCTCCAGTTACTCCTTATTACATCAGCTACGTATCAATAAAAGTTGCGTCAAAATCGGTCCAGCTATTTTTGAGATTAGCCGGAACAAACAGACAGACGGACAGACAAATATGGTAAAAATGTTATTTTGATGTATGTGCGGTATTTATATTCATATGCATGCAGTAAAAAACGGTTATTTCAATATTGCAAACAGACACTCCAATTTTATTTATATGTATAGATAATAACCCTGGACAATTCACATAGCGTCATTTAGTCTCAAGCGAAATAAAACTTGTGTTAACGGTACTAGACAACTGATAGAAATAATAATTTTATAATTTTAATATTTCCGATCTATCGGAACTATAAAATAATAGATATTTCAAAATCAATTTCCAGGTGAAAAATCAATAGAGTGCGTAAATCTCAGTTTTATTCTACACTTAGAGTTATATTTGTATCCAATAAAAAATAATAAAATCAATTTACAACCGTATATATATTACTAGCTGTCCCGGCAAACGTATGCCTTAAAATAAAAATAAAAAATTTAGGGGTGGACTACCCCTAACATTTAGGGGGATGAAAAATAGATGTTGGCCGATTCTCAAACCTACTTAATACGCTTACAAAATTTCATGAGAATCGGTCAAGCCGTTTCGGAGGAGTATGGGAACGCAAAATGGTGACACGAGAATTTTATATATAAGACTAGAATTTTATATATATGATGTTAACGGTTATATGTATATGATCTGGTTGGACGTTAGTTAGTTAGTAGTTAAACTCCCTTAGATGCAGTTTAACTTTTCTTCACTAATTTTGATTTTCGCATAAAGTTTACTAAGAGATATAAGTTTCGTACTACCATACCTATTATTCATTATTTTGCAACCATGACTTGAAATGATGATGAATGGTCATTTCCATCCCAAGTGGGGTGAAGGTTGGTCTCAGGCCGAACCTCTTTGCCTCGGAAACAGCTTGGGGACCAACGACTCCCGGGTAACTAGATTGTGAGCCTCGTCAGGCATGCAGGCAGTAGGTCGTACACTGACTTAACCTAAAGATTGTTAATAATGTATAGTAAAAAGGTATAAATTTAAGATTTTTATCCATACTTGGGGTTTTCTTTTTTTTAATTTTTCATCATTTTAATTTCTAAATGCAGATTGGCGTAAACTATCAACCACCGACAACAATACCTGGCGGTGACTTGGCAACGTTGCAGCGATCTGTCACCATGGTCTCAAATAACTCGGCAGTGAGAGGCGCGTGGGAAAGACTGTGCAAGAAATTCTCACTCATGTACGCAAAACGCGCTTTTGTACATCACTACGTGAGTGAAGGAATTGAAGAGGGTGAATTCCAAAATGCCCTCCAGAACATAAAAGCCTTATCACACGATTACAAAGAGATGGAAGAGTGATTTCACGTGTTTTGAAATAACATTCATTTTTTAATATTTCATTCGGTCATTTTTTATTTTTGTGATTTTGTTATATTAATTTTACATTACAATTTCTTTTAATCAGTTGAAATATACAATATAAAGGTGATTTTTGTGTAATACATTTTTCTTCTGGTATACATGCATATATATTTCTTATGTATGATAATACAATGGGGCACCCTTCTGAAGTAACGATTTATGCTGGCGGGGCACCAGTGTTGGATGATAAGATGAACATGAGATTAGGTCTGTTAGCCCATTGTAGTAAATGGATTGTTAATAAAATTACTATAAAGCCTTATTGCTAGCTTTGCGCCATGTCAGGTCAACTTCCACGCGAGTCCCCCTGGAAACCATCGCAGTTAATTACTTGTAAAATGGCCACGAAGGTCTAATTGACCTAACTATAATATCATTACATTATTGTTATTTATTTATTTAAATAACTTTAATGCACGTCATACACAGGTAAAAAGTACATATGGCGGACTTAACACCTCATGGCATTTTCTACCAGTCAACCATGAGTTGTGCAGAGATAAGTTGTTGGCGGTGCAGACAATATTATAATATTTTATAGAATATACATGAATAAATATATATATATACACATGTAAATACATAAATATTCCTACAAATATACACAAAAATATATATATACATATATATATACAAAAATATACCATACACATAAATATATGACCAATAATCTGACAATGAAATAGTGATTACAGCCGACAGTGTAAGCATATTACAATAGATACAAAAATATACCTATATATGATTCGCCTTGTAGTAAAAATGAAGAAACTTAATGATAACGAGAAAAATATATAAAAGATAATATATGATAGTATACAAAATTACATGTTAAGATAATGGTTCCGCAATCTTCGCTTGAAAGAATTTTTACTCCCAGCAGTCCTGATGTCAAGTCGTTCCAAAGTTTGATAGCCTGAACGGCGAAAGAATGATGGACAAAACCGGACAAATATGCCGGGACATGAAGTAAAAATCTGCGAAGGGAGCGATTGGTGTTGTCCCCATGGAAGTGGTGACTTATATATTCAGGAAAATTAGGATCGTATAGAATAGAATAGAGAGTACATAGCATAGGTACATTTCTGCGATAGCAGAGAGGAAGCCATTTAAGCTGTGAACGGAAAGATGAAATATGAACAAACTTGCGCAAATACTGTAATAATACATTATCCTTTGCTGATGCCCCGACTGCATATACATTTCGCTTTGTTTTCGCTGTGTATCTTGAGCAACCGTTTGTGCTAATGGTGTGGTGATTAGGTGGATAGTGTTTAGGTGATTATATACCAAGATATCTGCGCCGTAACTATACTAATAAAAATACTATTGTTATTGATTAGTATTCCTTGAATACTAATCAATAACAATAGTATTCCTTGAACAATAAACATGTATTTGAATTTACATTGTGGATGCCCGACGAACATTTAAAAAATTACAAATTCGCGAATGCAATGTGAAAGTGAAGTTGTCAATGTCAACTGTCAATTGTCAAATATTAACAAATGTCATACCATTGTGTGTATTTTGTGTTCTCATACTTTTTATTATTATCTAATTAGGTAACAAATAATTATTTCAACGAATATACAATATGTATTTTATTTAATACACAACATTGATCTCATTAGAAGGAACAGTAACATCCATATTTACTGTTGATAAACGCTAATACAATATTACAAGTAAGTTTACATTTCTTATCTCAATTTTTTTGTAATCTCTGAAGAATACTTGTTTGGTTCTTACATTTGTGTAAAACTGTGAAGACTACAGAAAAAACAAGAAGAATATTGTCTTTAAATTACCATTTCTAGCAGTATATATTGTAGAACAGGTTTCATAAAATTACTTCACCGGCCGGTGTTACGACAATGTGAAGGTACATAAACGTAAAAATAATTTTGTACAGAAGTATTTTAAGACAATGTGTAGTATTAATTATAATAAAGTCTTTATCAGAGTCGTCTTTTCCCTATAACAAGCCCTGGACTTAGAATAATGTGGCCCCTATGACTGTAGTAATAAAGTACTATATTGTTAGAATAGACAAAGTCATTTTTGAACATGACTCTTTAGAGATGTATATGAGGATGCCCTACCTTCAAAACAAACCAGGCAAAAATTAATAAAAACAAATTTACGATAATTGGTAAGCATTTGTTAAAACTGACTTTCAGGCGAGAGTAGAGGAGTTATCCGTTATCGTTTGGTAACGAAGTAGGGACTAGACTAGGGGGCCCCATCGCAGGGCCCTGAGCATGTACCCAGTGTGACCAGTGGTGAAGAGGGGCCTGGTCTATATTCTAAGTGTTTGTGTTTGCAAATAGCTATTTAATATATTTAAAAATCTTTGTCCAACCCATGTTCCCAGTTTATCTGGGGTCAGGTCTCCCTGTATCTGCGCCAGAGAACTCTGTTCTAGGTTGTCTGTATATGTCTGTCCTGGTCCATTTGCTTCTTAATATTATTCCACCAAGTGGTGCATGGCCTGCCTCGTTCGTGTGCAGTTGTTGTTCGTAGATTTTTGTTAGTCCATAGTTTTTTTTATATATTTGAAAATAAAATTATAAAATTCAAATTTGGAATGTCATGCATGGAACATCGATGTTGTTTTATTTAACTTTATATATATTTTGCACTTCTCGAACATTCCATAGTGTCACTATTAAATTCAATGTACAATACATTCTAAATATTTTTTAAACATTGCAATATTCCCACAGCATAGACTAAGTTTATAGAATTATTGGTATCCTATAACAGGCCTGTATTTTTTAATATAGTTTTTATGTAACTGGAAGTACTAGAACAGCAAATAAGTTGATTTCCCTGCTGATGGAAGGTTGTAATTGTCACCTATGTACATGAACAACGGATATTGAAGATTACATTGCTATGCTCTTGGTATGTCTGGTGCATTGCCATTCCTGTTACCTAAGTTGCTATGCCTTTCACACTTATTAAGGATTAGGTTTACGGCCACTGATTAGACTTGCCTCATTCAGAATTAAAAACATATGGCAATATGGGTGTAGATTTAATAAGAGTTGGAATTTGATAACCATTAAAGAAAGTCGTAACGGTATTGACTACTGCTTCCACACTGAATATTTAGAATAGAATAGAATAGAAAGTCATTTATTCAAATAAATTTACATTGAAGCACTTTTGAATAGTCATTACATTTTTTTTTTAATTTTATTATTACTTTACATTTTCAAGTTTAAAAAAAGAAGAATGAGTGTAAGTTTAACATATTCGCTTATAGTCCTGGGACTGATTGCAAATGTACTCGGAAAAAAAAAGTTTAAGTATGTGAATACAAACCACCTATTAGTATTAATTCAATTAATTCCTCAAATAGAAAAGATATTGAATATATAACCAACTGGTTAAACAATAAACAATTAATTTGTGATTTCAAACCTGCTAATTGTTCTTAAAACAAACTGTCTATCTATAGTTGGTCCCTATGTGAGTAATAAGATTTTTCAATGCATCTTCAACATGTTAAAATCGAAACATCAAAAACTTTGAATTGGTACAGTTTATGCTGTAAATAATATAAATGACATAGTGGAGTGACTTGAAACAGTCATGCTAGCTATAAAGTTCAAACTTGTGGCGGCGTGGTGGGCCGGGTCGATGTGCTCCCTCTAATATGGTTGAGTGCAATGATGGCTGGCTCATCCGTCATACTCGTGAACGGGTGCTGCTTGTGAGGACTGGTCTGTTCAAGTTGCGAACACTGATTAGATTTTTTGATTTTTTTTATATAGCATATGCTGGTGGTCACTCTATTCTCCCAAATTTGAATTTAAATAAAATAGTATTATTGTAAATATGTACAACATTAAAAAAAAAAACGAGCTGAGTTTCTTGTCAGTTCTTCTCATCTCGAAATCATTCCGAACTGATGGTAGATTTGACATATCATAAGAGTCTGTAATACATGCAATAAAGATATTTTGAATTTGTGTGTTAATGAATTAATATTACTTATTTTCAGGAAAATGATAGTGTCACAGCTCTGTCGGTGTACACAGCCACTGCGGACAGCACACACCAGACTCCTGGTGCCAACCAGGAGTGGCATCAATGGAAACCTGATCACAAGACAGCTAGTCACACCTGCCAGATATGGCAATTCTAGAATAGGCTATAAAGGTTTAAGGGTCAGTGTCCATTTTTTTTATAATTGATTACCTGACCCCGCAAACAATGTTTTAAAATAAATTAAAATCGCTATTAAAAAATAGGGGTCGTTGATAGAGGGGTGAAAATTTAGTGTTGTATGTATCTTTTAATGCCACATAAAAAAAATTGTGGTAAAAATGAAAATAATTTTTTTTTGGGTTGAGCCACCCTTAACACTTTGAGGTATATAAATTAGTTATAAACCTATTTTCAGACCTACTGAATATACTTATAAAATTTCATGAAAATCGGTCAAGCCGTAAAGGCTAAAAGTGCGAACTAATTCAATAGAATCACTACCATTTATACAAAAATTCAAAATTCTTTATTTAGGAAACACAGTTTTTAATAAATTCTTTACATCTGACTAATTTTTTTTTTTTTTTTTTCTTTTTTTTTTTTTTTTTTTCTCTCTCTATCTGCGATTTAACAGTTTGGCTTTTTTTCACTTATGTGACAAATTAGCTGCACACTCGACTTCGTCCGCGTGGCTTTTAACTTTATTTTTCTAACATAAAAGTAGCCTAAGTTACTCCTTATTACATCAGCTACCTGCCAAAACAAGTCCCGTCAAAATCGGTCCAGCCATTTCAGAGATTAGCCAGAACAAACAGACAGACAGACAAAAATTTTGAATTTTCATATTCATGTAATAAAAAACGGTTATTTCAATATTACAAACAGACACTCCAATTTTATTTATACATATGTATAGATAATCTCAAGAGTTATTTAGTGCAAGATGTTATCTTCCAGATACTAAAAAACCTTTATACTGTGATTATACTGATAATAATGTTATATTCAATTTATCAATTTATCTGATGATGGAGGACTAACACTCATAAATACAAATATTTATACCAAACGATGAACTCGAGACCATCGGAAATAAAGCGGTATGCTACAGCTAAACCACCGAGACCTCCAGCCGTTATTAATTACTACATAACTATCTATTTCTGTGTTGATAGTCATATGCCTAATCCTTGTTAATGTGTATTTATTTATATGAAAGAGCAATACCCAAGTGTCTTGTTCTTACTTCTTGTCTGTCTGTCTGCGTTCTGAATGAGTGGTAGTGAAAGAGTATAGAAAAATCAAAACTGTTTCTATTAAGTTTCTTTGAATAAAGATTATTTCTAGTTATATTATATCTAATCTAAATATATATAACTCAAAGGTGACTGAGTATCACATAGGTCACATAGTGATCTATCAACGCACAGCCCAAACCACTGGACGGATCGGGCTGAAATTTGGCATGCAGCTAGATGTTATGACGTAGGCATCCGCTAAGAAAGGATTTTGATTAATTCTACCCCCAAGGAATAAAATAGGGGATGAAAGTTTGTATGAAACTTTGTCAATTTTAAACCGATCGGGCTGAGACTTTGCATGCTACTATGACGTAGGCTAAGAAAGGATTTTGATAAATTCCACCCCTAAAGGGATAAATTAACGCGAGCGAAGCTACGAGCAAAAGCTAGTTTGTTCATAAGAAGCAAAAATACTTCTGATGCATAAGCTACATTTCTGTAAAGTTTACAGTACTTTACAGTGTAAAGTTTCATTAAAATACGTTCAGTAGTTTTTGCGTGAAAGAGGAACAAACATCTATGTATGGATAGATGTTTGTTCCTCTTTCACACACAAACTTTCGTATTTATCATATTATTAAGATTAAGGTGAATAAATTATTTTTATTTGATTATGATTACCTGATTGTAATATTACAGATAAGTGAAATAATCAAGTCAAGCGGCATCATAGCCAGGTTCTGCTCCAGTGCTCCGAAGCCGAAGACCCCTAAAGTGGTGGGGTACTGGCTGCTGGGCTGCAGCGGGATGGTGTTCACCGCCGTCGTGCTAGGTATGGTAGCTGGCTATATGATACTACTGTACAGCGTCTATTACATTGTCTGGGTGGTACTGACCACCACCAACGGCAGTAAGTAAACAGTCCATATTCCGTCACATTAATATTACAGCATTTCATAATCTATACATATAAATAAAATTGGAGTGTCTGTTTGTAATATTGAAATAACCGTTTTTTATTACATGCATATGAATACAAATATGGTACATACACCAAAATAATATTTTTATAATTTTTGTATGTCTGTCTGTCAGTCTGTTTGTTCCGGCTAATCTCTGAAATGGCTGGACCGATTTTGACGAGACTTTTATTGGCAGGTAGCTGATGTAATAAGGAGTAACTTAGGCTACTTTTATTTTAGAAAAATTATTTTAATTTAGAAAAATAAAGTTAAGTTCCACGCGGACGAATTCGCGGGTACAGCTAGTTTAAAATAAATCTTGTTTTAAAGCCAAATTACACGTTCATTTCCTTTAAAATGTGCAGCCGTAATTAAAATTTTTGAGTTTTTTCTTTGAGTGCCTCTTATTTTAGACTAATTTGTGACAAAGAACAATGAGCTTTATCGTTTAGTTTTAAGGTTTAAGTTATAATGAAAATAAACTATTATATATTATTTTTATTTAAATTGGTGTAAATAGTATCCGGACCTAGTGATTCACTAACTAACTTATTGACTATAAAAAGTCGGGAGTTGAAATCTGGTTGAAAGAAAAAATGTTTGCGTGTCGATTTATATTTGTAACTGACACTCGGGTGATGGGAATATCGACAATAAACCTGATTAAAATTAATACATGTATAGTACAAAATGTTTATAGTGGCAGTATTTCAGAGAGTTAAGTAATTCAATATATTTAAAAAATATATCAATAATAATTTACCTGAACAATTCACACAACGCCATCTAGTCCCAATCTAAGCAGAGCTTGTGTTATGGGTACTAGACAACTAATATACTTAATTTTTTTTTGTAAATATGTACATAATATTTATATATAAAACTACCATACCGATACACACAACCATAAAGTAAGTACCCATAAAACATTATGAGTACTAGACAACTAAAATGTTTAGGTACATTTTTTTTGTATATACATACATAATATACATAGAAAACAACCAGAACAAACAATCATACTCACGAATATTGTCCAAGGAATCGAACCCGGAACCATCGGATGTAAAGCGGTGTGCTAAACCACTAGACCATCGACACCGATAAACATTTAGAAGTATGAAATTTACATGTTTCTTGGGAAGATCAGTTTCACAAAAAATATTATACAGTTTTAGGTAGATATAGGTCTTAAGTAGTTTTGGTTATAAATATTTCATAAATAATCTTAAAAATGCATTATTGTATTAAAAAATAAAGTATTTATTTTAACTAAGTCACATCATGTTAGAATATTTTAGTTGTGTATTTGATTGTATATAATGTAATAAACAATTTTATAGATACTATGTTGTTTCCTTTTATAACATAGTAATGATCACGTAAAGGATGCAAGAGAAATGGAAAAAAACAACGTACTAATAGTAATTTTTTTTTCTGACTACTCTAATGCTTTTGGTCGTTGGCCTTACAGCTTCACCGGACGATTCTGCGGCTCTCTAATCATAAATTCAAATTTAAATTCAAAAATCATTTATTTAGTCAATTTTTTTACATTATATTTTTAATTTTTTCCTTACCATCCAGTTCAGTATATAGATCCAATTGAGAAGTACTGGCAAGAAAATTAATTGAATATTTTATTCACTTTTTTTAAAGTTTATTTACTAGTTACTTTAACGGTGTATATTTTTATAGGTGTCTATGTCTAACAAAGTGAAGTATTAATTATATCAAGGAAATATATTTAATCCATTACTCAAAACAAATCAAAGATTATTTATTCATATAGGACATTGTAGCCGCTTATGAACGTTAAATTTATTGTATTATAATTTTTTCCCTACTCACTCATATTGAACAATAAACCTCACTTAAACATTTGAGAGGGATGTTTGTTTATTGAACTAATATTTAGTACAGTCTTGACAATATTCTTGCAAAAAAAATTGCTTAGTAAATACAGCAGCGTTTTGTACACGTTTACTTTATAGTTAAACAATTCAAATAATATTAAACAACAAACAAATAAAAACGACATAGTGCGGTAACAAAATTAATTTAAGTCCTTATTAAATGCATGCTGATGAAAATGATGAAAGCAATTATCAATTCTAAGTAGTTAGATAATAATTTGTATGTTAAATTGGACACAATCCTTATTTTGAAGAATGGATGAGAGGGGACTGTTAGCAATGTAGTCTGATGGTACCATTGCTAGCAATGTACCAATTAGTAATGTGGGCGTACCCCATTGGTAGCCATGTACCATGTCAAGTTAACTTCCACGTGGTTGCTCTTGGAAACCATTGTGATAAATTCCTGGTGAATTTACCACGATGGGCTAACTGACCTGACCGCATGCTCATATTACCAAGCTCCATTGGTGCACCAGCGTAAACAGGTACCGCAGGCGGATGAACTATACCATTATAATCTTAGAAAAAAAAACTATTTGAAAGGGTGTAGGAATGTGATCAAACTTTGAAATATCTGCTGAACATTTTCATTGCTAACGTTATTCTTCTTGTTTGTACCCTCACTGCTGAGGATCATGACCCTACGCGATCTTGTCGACCAGCTGTGGCCATTGGTTACGCTCAGACGCCTGGTGTATTCTGGCGCTGACAATCTTTAACTGACGGGATATCTGGTCTGATCATCGGGACTTCGGCCTCGAGGTCTTTTACCCTTTATCTTCCATTACCATCAGTCTCTCCATATCGTCCACATCCCTCCGCGCGACGTGTCCAAAGTATCGCACAATGCGTTGCAGACAAGTGGAAGACAGACGCTGTGAATCTTCCACTTTGAGCACTATTAGTATAGAGAGGCCGTTCAAGTATTACGTAAGCACTATAGGGGGCGGGGGGTCTTTTCTTTGCTTATTTTGGATGACATGGGGGTGGGGGCGTCTGTATGATGATTACGTCATCGGTCGTAATTTACTTTTTTACACGAATGGCAACCCTCACATTGTCTTTGTTAAAAAAACAATACATTAATTGAGAAATGTTTACGTAAGCATGGGGGGAGGGGTAAGAGCTTTGCTTACTTTTGCTGACAACGGGGGATGAGGGGTAAATAATTGTGATAAATCTGCTTACGTAATACTTGAACAGCCCCAGAGACGTTTGTACGGTGGGCTGTCCACGGTATCCTCAATAATCGCCAGCACCACATTTCAAAGGCTTCACTCTTTGCCTATCAGCGGCTTTGAGTGTCCATGTCCCTGCACCCTATATAGCGATGTAGATAACCAGTGATGGTACGGTGTATTTTGGTTTTGTTGATGTGTCTGTGTCTCTACACTTTGCTCAATTAGGTCATTGCTGACATTGACTAAGATGTAATGGCGATTCGTCGAGGTATCCCAGTTTCGCAGCTGCCTCTGTTTGTTCACGGAGTCTAGGTATTGGAATTGGTCAACGATGTCAGTCTCCTAGTAGGTTAGTGCGCTGGATTGATGAAAATAAATCGATTTCCATAAGCTTGATCTTGCATGTATAAATAGCAAGGCCCAAGCTCAGGATGGTAGTCTCCAAGCGATACAGTATTGCCGCAATTTCTGCTTCGGATGTTGCCAGCAAGGTAGTGTCATCTATGTAACACAGCTTAAAGATTTTGACTCTCCCTACATTTGCCTCCTTATCCTCAAGCGTCTGTCGCATGATATATTTGCCATAGATGTTGAAAAGGATTGCGGAGATAACACAACTCTGCCGAAAGTCCTTAAAAAAGATTTGATGTTACGTTTCCCACTGTGACCGTACCGTATCCAGACTCATATAAATTGCGAATAAATGATACTAGGTGTGATGGCATTCCGGTCTCCTTAAGCACTTCCCACAGCATTCCCGATATCTCTCAAAATAAGATAGATGAATTTATAGATGATAGCAATATATAGCAAGAATAAGTTTATTTGCGGACAACGTTATAATTTAATTTTCATACTGCTTTCTTGATATATGATAGCGTAGCGGCTTTTGTATTGATTGCCGCATGCATCCTCATGTAAAGTGCGAATACTGTAACTACCATATAGTAATTTTTGTAGCTGTGACGTGGTCGTGTGGAATGAGTAGTCATGCTCACTAAAATGTCCAGACATGTGGCGGCGTGGTGGGCCGGGTCATTGGGCTCCCTAAAATATGGTCGAGCGCAGTGATGGCTGTCTCATCCGTCATACTCGTGAACGAGTGCTGCTTGTAGGGACTGGTCTGCTCTTATCACTACGACTGATTTAATCTTATTGCATATTTATATTTGACCCAAAAAATTAGTGCTTGTTGGTAGTTTGTATTATTTTGTAAATGTAAACTTACAAGGATTATTTAAAAGAGCAACACACAAGCTTCTTGCTCGTTCTTCTTGTAATGAGACAGTTTTCCGAACGAGCGGTAGATAAAAAACAAATTGTTATGACTATTCAAAAGTGCTTAAATTAAGTTTATTTGAATAAATGATTTTCTATTCTATTCTATTCTAAATAGGTAATGTATGTTGGAACTAACAAATCCATCATTGTGAACGAATTATTTCTAATATTAGGTGCTTGGTAACTATTAGTGATCAATTTGATGTCTGAGAAGGCAGATAATGTGATGATAAAAAAAAACAGGTAGGTCACGCAATGTTTTTCTAACTAGCAATTTTATTTTAAGACTAGCTTTTTATGTAACAAGACTTTCTAATACTAAACTATTTAATACTAACTGTACATTATAATGTAAATAAATAACCCTGGACAATTAACACAGCGTCATCTAGTCTCACGGTAAGCAGAGCTTGTGTTATGGATAAAAGACAATCGATATAAATACATAGATTTTTTTTCTACATACATATGAGTACATCATATACGTAGAAAACACCCAGACCGATACAAACAGTCATGCTCATGAATAAAAATGTTTGTAACGCGCAAGAATCGAACCCGCTACCATAGGGAGTAAAGCGGTGGACAAATACTTTATTTTTCTCGAATAATCTATACATATAAATAAAATTGGAATGTCTGTTTGTAATATTGAAATAACCGTTTTTTACAACATACCTATGAATATAAATATGGTACATACACCAAAAAACCACTTTTTACAATTTTTGTCTTTTTGTTTGTCGGTCTGTTTGTTCCGGCTAATCTCTGAAATGGCTGCACCGATTTTAACGGGACTTTAATTGGTAGGTAGCTGATGTAATAAGGAGTAACTTAGGCTACTTTTATTTTAGAAAAATAAAGTTAAATTCCACGCGGACGTAGTAGCGGGTACAGCTAGTAACTAATACAATTGCTGCTTATATAATAATAAAATTTAACGAATGAGACAAAACGGTCTATACCTCAGTGAGGGCAGTGAGTCCACCCTCTCTGCTATTCTGTTATAGCCATTATTAGCTACTCACCCGGCTTCGCACGGGTGTACATGTATTATATATATAAAACTTCCTCTTGAATCACTCTATCTATTAAAAAAACAGCTTCAAAATCCGTTGCGTAGTTTAAAGATTTAGGGACGGACAGACAGCGACTTTGATTAATTCTACCCCCAAAGGGATAAAATAGGGATGAAAGTTTGTATGAAACTTCGTCAATTTTAAACCGATCGGGCTGAGACTTTGCATGCATAAAGCTACTATGACGTAGGCATCCCCTAAGGAAAGAGTTGATAAATTCCACTCCTAAGGGGATAAATTAACGCGAGCGAAGCCACGGGCAAGACATAGTGTACAATAAAAAACCTATAGAATTTACAAAATACATTTGTGATTAGCCAGTTACAACAGTAACTCTATAATATAACCAGGTGGAGTAACTCGTCTTACGGAGTCCGGACTGTCGATGGTGACGTGGAAGCTGCTCGGGGAGAAGATGCCCAGGACCGAGGAGGAGTGGCAGCGGGAGTTCCAGAAATACCAACAGTACCCAGAGTTCAAATAGTATGTATTGATGTAATTTTTTTTTGGTAAATACAGTGGAGCCCCGGTAATCCAGCCACCCTTGTAACGACATGATCCATTATTTATTATTGAATATTTTTTGACAATCTTCGCTAATGAACAAGCATGACTGAACAAGTTTGAACAAGTTAGAAGTTTGTCTGAAATCAAATAAAATTTATTTGCGACTAGCTGTACACGCGACTTCGTCCGCGTTGATTTAACTTTATTTTTCTAAAATACAAGAATTTTTCCAAAATAAAAGTAGCCTAAATTACTCCTTATTACATCAGCTACCTGCCAATAAAAGTCTCGTCAAAATCGGTCTAGCCATTTCAGAGATTAGTCGGAACAGACCGACAGTCAAAAATTGTAAAAAATGTTATTTTTGGTGTTTGTACCGTCATTATATTCCGTTTTTTACTGCATATGCATGTAGTAAAAAAACGTTTATTTCAATATTACAAACAGACACTACAATTTTATTTATATATATATAGATATGTGTTGTGTTTGTTCTTTTTTTGTCATTATTGTTGTGTCAAGATGAAGTAATAAAATTCAATTATATTCTTCTCCAATTTCTCCAAAGTAAGAACCAAAGCATCACACTGTCAGAGTTCAAATGGATCTGGTTCATGGAGTTCGCTCACCGCACTTGGGGGCGTGCCATCGGAGCGGTGGTGTTGCTGCCGTCTGCCTTCTTCTGGCTGCGAGGGTACCTCGACCGCGGGATGAAGGTCCGAGTGGGAGTCTACTGCGCGCTTGTGGCTGCACAGGTTTGTATGCAACTTTTTCAAAATGATAATAAAAATCATTTATTTATGTATGACTGGGGTTGCCAACTTTTTTTGACAAAAAAAATGGTATAAATTGGTTTGGATAGGAAAAATATAAAGTATTAGGGAAAAAAAAGTATTTATCAAATTCTATGTTGTTATTGCTTTAAAAAAGTATTTTTGTGTGCTTTTAAATGACACTCATCTCATTAGAAATTCCTTTTCCTTCATCCATTGTATGTGTTTCGTCGCGAACTTTCTAGATTAATTTTATCGTTAGTTTTTTTTTATATACCCTCAATATCGATGTTTATTACTCGCAACGCATAGCAATAGCAGTCGTACAAGCTGCCATGCACCACGCCCAGTTGTATCTGTGACTACGGCGCGAGTGTATGTCTATCGTTTCGAAAATTATCTCTGCATTCGACCTCACCTCACGTCTTCAAAGACCGGATCTACCGAAGGTGGATGTTCATCGAAGGCATTAGCAGAACAAGGTACGTGTGTGCATTATATTTGCTATTGTCAACGAGTTTTTTAGAACATCGATTTATTCGTATACGTAATAGTCCCTATGTAGCATAAAGCAACCGCTATTTCGGATTGGTGCGAATGCTACAGTATGCCTATTAGCTCATCCTAGTCCTATAATTTGTAAATCTCTTGCGTCTTTTATTTCCCATAATAACATTAAACTTTAAAACTCATATGATCACTAATTCCGAGTATATTCAAAATTTAACCCGTTCCTTTCCATTATCCCGCCTCGTTTCCTGTTTTTAGTGGCATAATAGGCAACACTAGCCTCTTGCCAAAGAAGAGAAGAAAAAAAAACACTAGAACTGTGACAAATGTCACAATTCACAATTGACAACATTTCGTTCAGTAATTATAAATCGTTAAGTACCCAATAATGAGTATTTTGTTGTACGCATTACAGTGAAGGTTGAAAATAAAGTATTTTTGTATACTTTACTTGTATGTAAAAGTATAAAGTGTAATTACCAGAAATGAAGTAGGATACGTTATTATAAAGTATGGTTGGCAACCCTATGTAAGACTTTCAGGTGAATATTTTGTTATTTCCATATTTTCCTGTAAATTATAACTACTCTATTTAAGTATGTTAGTAATGTGGACTGTTGACCCCATTGCTAAGTGGTCTCCAACAGTGATGATATGAGAGAGAGAAGCTCCTCTGAAACCGTCAGGGGAGCTTCTCTCTCTCATATCATCTCATATCTCTCGGTGGTTTAGCGGTTTAGCATTACTTCCGATGATTGCGGGATCGATTCCTCGCACGATACATTCATTTGTATTCATGAGTATGATTGTTTGTACGGTTTCTCGTTCGTTTGCGTGTTTAAAAAAAATATTTAAATGATAATTTCAGTTATCTAGTACCCATAATCGAAGGTCTGCTTAGCTTGGGACAACATGGCGCTGTGTGAAATGTCACCAAGTGTAATGCTTAAAAATATCATATTCTAGCTGTGCCCTTGGTTTCACACGCGGTCAATATCAATATAAAATATAGCCTATGTGTTATTCTAATGCATAGGCTATATTACTGTAAAGTTTCATCAAAATCTGTTCAGTAGTTTTTGCGTTACAGAGTAACAAACATCTATCCATACTCACAATTTTTCACGTTTATAATATTAGTTTTTTTTTATATTTTCAATCCATATTCAGATAACAATGATGAGCTGGATCTCTCCATCACAACTGTCCCAATCAGTACTAATATCTTCTGCAGGGTCTCATGGGCTGGTACATGGTGAAGTCAGGACTGGAAGACCGCTTCCAGGGACCTTCGGACGTGCCTCGCGTGTCTCAGTACAGGCTTGCAGCCCACCTCGGTCTCGCTTTCATCCTGTACTCGGGATTATTAGCTGGAGCCCTAAGGGTGCTTCGGCCCTTCCCTCCGATGTCTGTTCTCCAGAAGGGTGTGAAGGAATTGAAGAAAATGACCATTTTAGCACATAGTGTTAAAGCGCTGGCGTTTTTCACAGCTCTTTCAGGTGTATATTTTGTTATTTCTTTATTTTCCTGTTAATTATAACTGATTTTACTTAAGTAATGCAACCCTAATAGCACGGTTGTGATGGGAAGGGGTTTAGCAATGTGCATTTATAACTTATTGCTAGCAATGTACCATGTCAGGTTGCCCACCATGTGGTTCTCCTTGGAAACCTTAATGAACCTCGTGGAGGTCAATCTAACATGACATGTCAGGAGGGGGTCACATAATCGTGGTCAAGTCAAGAACTTATAATTTAATTTTGATAACAATAGATGCAAATAAAAAGTAGGCATATTATTAATGTCCGTAAGTACTGTGCTTAAATATATAAATAAAATCATTATGTTCGATTAGTGGTCCACCTAAGTCCTGGGCTCAGGGGGTCATGACCCCCATGACCCCTCTGTATCCGCCGTTGACATGACCTGACATCGTTGGCAAAGAGGTCAACAGTCATACGTTTGATGGCCTCGCTGGTCTAGTGGTTTAACAGACCGCTTTACTTCCGATAGTTGCGGGTTTGGTCGATGCAAATATTTGTATTCATAATTATTATCTGTCTGGAGGTTTATATGTATATTTTTATTTATGAAAAAATATATATCTATGTATTTATATCCGTTGTCAAGTATATATGACATATGCTCTGCTTAGCTTAGGACTGACTAAATAGTATTTTGTAAATATATCACCATCAACAACAATTTGTCACATTGCAGGTGCGTTCGTGGCGGGCCTAGACGCAGGGCTGGTGTACAACTCATTCCCAAAAATGGGCGACCACTGGGTGCCTGATGACATCCTGGCGATGAGCCCGACGCTGCGTAACCTGACGGAGAACCCCACCACGGTGCAGTTCGACCACCGAGTGCTGGGGACCGCTACTCTGACGGCGGCGTCGCTGGTGTGGCTGCACGCGCGCAGGGCTCCGCTGTCGGCCCCGGCCGCCAGGGTGGCCGCCGCCGTCGGAGCCATGGCCTGGCTGCAGGTGGGCACATTTATAATTTCACTGCTTAGAGCTCTGCTGTTAATTTAACATGACATAGTGCTAGCAGTGTATCTTAGGGCTCCGCTGTCGATCTGACATGGACAGCAAGACCCTATTCCCAGCTCTGACCCCCGTACCACGTCAGGTTGACCTCCACGCCGTTCCCCCTGGAAACAATTGTGATAAGTTCCGGAAGATTTGCCACTATGTGCTTACTGGACCTGACGTCATGTTCATCTTATCATCCTCCACTGGTGCCTCGCCAGCGTAAACCGTTAGTGCAGGCGGGAACACCATTCTATTATCCAATAAAAAAAATACCTGATAGTATCTGTATAACTTACTTTTTTACTGCTCTCGTCCATTTCTCTTTCTTTTATTATTTTTCTATTCTACTCTCTTTAGTTCTGTGACTGTCAGACTATTGAGTATCTAGTATATATTTATTTTATATATACGTGTGTATATTTGCGTTCGTGTGTAGTTAAATAAATAAATAAAATTAAAATATAAAAATTGACATACTAATGTACTCAAAAGTATATAATTACATAAATAAACAGAATGTATAAGCTCATGGATTATAAATTAAACTGTAATAAATATATATATATCTTTGTGAGGTGTGATGAGATGATGACATGATACATCCGCAGGTGACGCTGGGCGTGTTGACGTTGCTGCATTTCGTTCCGACGCCTCTGGCCGCCAGTCACCAGGCCGGCTCCCTCACACTCCTCACACTCGCCATCTGGCTCACGCACGAGATCAAGATCCTCAAGTTCATACCCAAGTGAACACTATTCCAATTGTATTAAGGCGCATTTTGTTATAATTATAATATAAGTATATTATAGAACGATTTGTTTTATTTCGAACTGTACTCCAATTACGTGAAAGCGCATTTTATTATGACATAAGTATGGTAAAGAATGATTTGTTTTATTTTTAACAGTTTTCAATGTTGACTAATGAGGACTAGAGATTTTTTTAAGGATGATAATGGAATGGTGCTCTCGCCTATGCTAACAGTTTACGCTGGCGGGGTACCAGTGGAGGATGATAAGATGAGCATGAGGTCAGGTCAGTTAGCCCATCGTGACAAATTCACCAGGAATTTAATATGATGGTTTCCAGGGGGAACCGCGTGGAGGTCGACCTGACATGGTACATTGCCAGCAAGTCCTCAAATATCATTTTTTAATGTAGCACATTTTAGACACCTATGACTGTCAAGTTTTGTAATATTTTTTCCCGACCGTCCAGTTCAGTACATAGATTTAATTGAGAAGAACTGACAAAAAACTCAACTGATTTTCTTTTTTAAAAAACATATACTTGTCATGCATTCACTTCTGGAAAGCATAGTAAATACTTTATAAAATTGCCATTTTAGGATAAAGAATTTGAAATTATCCTCATTCCAACAAAATTCACAGTTACCCTGTGTATACCATTAGAACAAATAGGACTATTTTACCATCAAAGAATAATATCCTATGACATTTCACACGGCGCCATCTAGTCCCAAGCTAAGCAGAGCTTGTGTTATGGGTACTGATATAAATACATAGATACATTTTTTAAATACACATAGAAAACCCAGACTAATAAAAAAATACTCATTATTACATATGTTTGTGCTGTGCGAGGAATCGAACAGGCGACTGGAAGTAAAGCGGTGTGTTAAAATGTTACCGACCACCGAGACCGTCAAAAATAAACTCAGGGTATTATTGTAATGGGACATAAATATAAGACTCACTTATTATTCACAAAGTGATTTTTATTTGAAAATTTAAAATACTAATATTGCTTACACACTTAAAAACCGTTGTTTATATACAAAAATGACAATCTAGCCTACATGTCGAGACGTGGAACGGCTCTATATATCGCACACTTACAATACTTGCCTAAGTCAAAAATTAGTTTTAGAAAATCCACTTTATTACTGCGGTATCAAAGACCAATTTCAAAAAATTAAAATTTCTGACTTACACCAATATTGTACTAGATATCCGATATACTCACAACATCACTGCATAAATATATATTAACATAGTTAAACGGGTTTTAAGATGAATAATTTCTAATGCTGTTGGCCGCAGCTGGCCTTTACAGCTTCACCGGACGTTAGGGGGCGAGTGCAGATGGCACTCCAAACCAAAGGAAGGACTTATGGAGCGGCTGAAGGCCAACTCCCGCCTGACGGATACGACTTTAATCTGATGGCAGCGCTAGGGGATCGAACCTCGGCTCAGGCCGTCGTAATTTCGATCGTTTGTATTTGATGGGAGATCAATTAGAGGTATTTGAATTTTTGGCAAATAAAGGTCGTTCGACGTTCCAGTATCCCTGGTTACTTGAGATAAACCTTTATTTACCATAAAATTATTCGTGTTAAAACCCGTTTAAATATATTAATAACCTGTACTAAACGCGAATGTTTAAAATAAGTATTGATACATATGATTATAATCTGTGGATTTGATAAATAGTACATTTTAAGAAATATAAACTGATTTACACAAATATTTTCTATTTAAACCAACATATTCTACAGATAAAAATTTTAAAATAAATATTACATATTCCTGTTTCTAAACGCATTGTAACATTAAAACAAAGATTCTACATTATGAACGTCCGCCGGTCTACTCTAGAAACTTGTCTGTTTAGTATTAATTAAAAAGAACAGGACTAAACTGGATTGAAATATTTATTGCTATTGGACTCTAGAATAGACCTGCAGTTCACACAAGGATTTTAAAAATTACATGCAATTAAAATTTAAAAGGGTAAATTACGTATATTAAAATTTATGTCACATTGCAATACCGTACGGTACAGAGTAACTATGAAAATAAATAAATTAAAAACATACATTATTTGTGCCGTGTGTGACATTACTTGCATTAGGGGTATTACATTATCAAATGTGTCATATGTGCATTTTGGATCCGAAAATGTAGAATTTTCGTTTATAGCACGGTCTATATATTAAAGATATTGTATAAAAATTATTAAATATCATAATTTTGAACTCATATCTAACTAAAATAACTTAATACGGGATAGAAATGAAAATTTATCTGCCTACAGTATTTTTTACATTGTTAACTTATATATATAAAATTGTTAAACTGTAACTTTATGTAGAACCGATCCAATATTTTTGACAAATGTAATACCCCAATGATGTTAAATTTATACAAAATAAATTAATTTAAAATTATGATCAACTGCATTCAAAAATCTTATTAAAAATGTGAGCATTTTAATAATAAATTCAAAAACAATTCAGCGTTACATGAGATTCATCAATCGAGTCTCGACATTGCCGACTCGTGGCTTTGTGTGTAGGCCCTAATATTCGTTCAAAATATACAAGTTGGTTAGGTTAGTATTAGAGTACACGCAGCAATTTGTTATTTATTATCTATCTATCTACATATAACAATACAGGCATGATCCAAACAGTGTAACAGTTACATATTTGATCCAAAATGTGTAACAGTTACAGTCATTAACGTCCGCTTTCTGAATTGAGAATAATGTGAATGAATTTATATTACACGTAGATTTGAGCTCTGCAATGGGGAGATGATCTATTTGTTTTTTATTTACACTGTCGACTACAAATTATTGTCTGCAATAGTCTTAAAAAAAGGTACAATTATTTTTAAAATATGATTCTTATTTGCTTTGAGAATGGCTATATTTTTCCGAGTAGAATTTAAAAATACAACGAACTAAAATTAAACAGCGCCATCTAGTGTTACAGTCCATATCATGAAATCATGACATTTTTACATTCTCAAATCAGAACCTGGGCTTGTTTACTCCAAACTCACACTTGTGTACTGGCGTTGATCATCTTATATGCATTTTAAAATCTTGCATTTCCTGTCAATTATCAAAAACAAACAATTTATGACGAACTAGAAAGTTAATCATGTAATAACATTCTCAATAAGGTACCATTTAGATAAAAAAAATTCGTCACACTATAAATGTGTTAAGGAGTCGATGAAGTGTGACAAGAGGTGGTAAGTGACACATTCTGTGACGATTTATATTATTATATTTGTCATTAACAATATAAGTTAAAAAGGATTTAAAGCTATTTTAGAAACTGCTATTTGTTTGGTAATTTAATAAATACTAAATTTGTAAAACATGTGACGAACGAGCCTGCGACTTACTTGATGTTAAGTGCTTACCGCCGCCCATGAGCTCCTGCAACACCAGGAGAATTGCAAGTACGTTGTCGGCCTTTTAAAATGGAATTATCTCTTTTCTTGAAGGTTTCAATATCGTATCAGTTTGGAACTACCATTGCTGGAAGGTGATTCCACAATGTGGATTGTTGAAAATTGTTTCTATTTGACAATTGACACAAAGCTAGATTTAGACAGTAAATGCTCTTAAATTGACGATATTTCTTAATTACTTTCAGCTATAAATTAAGATAATTAAGCAAGTTGTAGTGAGTGTTGCCAGTAACAAATGCATAGTGCGAGTTTGACATATCAGTTAATACTTTTAATCTAAAATAAGACAATTTGGATATTACCCGTATCTGTTAGTTACAACAATTATTGTGAAATAAAATGTGAGCACGGTACAACGGGCCGTTCTAAATATATAGATAGTCGATGACCACCGCATATTAAATATTTATGTTTCATTTCTATAAATTAAACAGTAATAATATCTAATTACTTTGTTTATTCATACACAGATGCAAATTTTTTACTATTTTTTAGTTACAGGCGGTAAACAATAGTCATCAATTACCTATATTTTTACCACACGTTACCCTTAAGTGAAATAAAAAAAATAAACTCTTAGCACCATACAACAATAATTCCTTAACCTGAAACTGTTTAGCTAATATATGTATAATATATTATATATCAATGTTTGAGTGTATAAATATTTTTAAGATATGTTCTTGAGTTTGTTCAGTACACAATTTTGAGATCTAGTCATTATAAACAGGCATCAGGGATACTATGGAATTGCCGTTTGCTGTACCTACTATTGTAATGGATTACCTATACGACGATAATTAAAATTAGCATGAAATTAAACCTTTAAATTTAAGTGAGAATAGATATGCTACCGAGAATATATATTCTCATGAGAATAGTCATGTTACTGAGAATATGATAAGTGGTAGTATAAGCACTAGTGTAGTTTTCGTACTAATAATATTAAAACTTTCATAGCTATCTGATGGTAAACAGTTACCGTTGCCTGTGGCACACGACCTTACGTGCGTTTTGCAATTATGAATAAGTTCTATAACTCGTAACGGTAGCTGTAATGGTCTGGTATGTCTTTAAATATAAAATGCATTGAGACTAAGCTTTGTATCAATATTGTCAATATTGAAGCTTAGTCTCAATGCCTTTTATATTTAGAGACATACCAGAATTCAAATTGAATGAGGGCAAATATATATGTTATTAAAACACGCCGTTTAGGTATAATACCATTGCAAACAGTAGATAAAGCTGTGGCGTTTCTCCAGTTGCCTAATAAATATTTACATTTCATCCTAAAATCGTTAATAAACATATCTGTAAATAATTTTAACATAGACAATAAAGGACAACCGAATTACAAAAAACGATCGAAATTAATTAACAGTATTCTCGAATAGTGCACAAATTGTAAATAAGCATTTAACTATACGTGTTCACAATATTAATACGACTTAAAAAATAAAACATTTACGATAATAATATTCGTCCAAAACATGGGTAGTTAACGACAGTTGCAACATGGCTGCGAGGATAAGCAGTGGTGTTACACTTTAAAAAAAAATATTT